CAGCAGCAGTTGTCTCGACGTGACTCAAGCTCTCTCGTTGAGCCTGTCCTCACAGAACAAGCACTGGGCAAGCAGGGGCTATCGAGGCGGAGCTGAGCTCCTGGAGGACAGTTGTGGCTCAGAGATGCCTCCTCCTTCTCGCCTCCTCGGACATTTCCCCCGGCATTTCCCGCCCCAGCAGGGCACTGAAGACCGACGGGGAGAGACAAGGCCTCTACCCGTTCCAATTCCTCTGCCTGCTTTTTGAAGAGGTGGATTATAAAGGCTGTAAGTTGCTACAGAGCTGCCGTAGTTTATGCTGAACAACAACTGGAACGGGATCATCAAAGCCATTTCCCTAAGATGGACCAAGGGACACAAGGAAATCAGGGCCACTCCATGCTTGAAAGCTGCATCAGAAAATGCAAGGTCCTCCTGTGGCCACACTAACTACTCCTGATTATTTAACCTACTTGCAGTACCTATGCCAAAGAAACCCAAGGTACGGACAAGCCGCTGCTCTCCAAATCACCAACAGTTCTCCAATTGACTCCTGTTTATCCCAGAGCAGTGCGTACAGTGCAGAAGGGTGTTGCACTGCATGGAAGAACATAAATCCACAGGGATCAATGTCCTGTACAGAAAACTCACCTCCGGATAGGAAGCAGAGATTTCTACCACCTGACAGCAAAGCAGTCTTTAGTACTAACACATCTTGACAATTGTATATAAATACACACAAAAAAATATGTGTACTTATGTGTATTTATGTGTATTTATTGTATATAAGTAAACAAAAAGAAATTCACCACATTCATATGCATCTCCCTAAAATTCTCAGACAGTCCAGTGAGTTCCATAAACTCGTCTCGTTTCTCAAGTGAATTCAAATTCTCATGCTTTAATACGAAGAATAGCCAACCTCTACACTAAGTTTCCAAAGGAGTAAGCAGAAAAACACAGCACCTGAGCTATGGGGATCCTCGACTTCAGATCCATGGAAACTAATGCGAAAAATAAGAACATGCAAACTTAAGTTTCTAACACAGAAGATTTTACTCAAGTTTTTCAACTGAAGATGTTGTTGGAACACAAAAATAGGGATTTTTATCTTAATCCATCATCTGTCTTTCAGACTTCACAGTGACAATAATCCTCCTGGAAAACAATTTGGCAGGTTGTATGCACTACAAAAGTGTATGTTGGAAATATGTTACCAAATTCTTATGTTAACAATGGTTACATTTAGGTTTTCCCAACCTAAAAAAATATTGCTTCTCATTAGAAAAAGCCACTGAACATGATTCAAGTCTCTTAAAGCTGGTATTCTTCCCATGCCCCATAATCTTCAGCAATCAGTATGCTGAAGCAAATAAATCAAAGGGCACGTCTCAGATTACCATTACTTGCCTCAAAACTGCCAAGTTTTTGTCTTCAAAAAAAATCCAGTTACAAAACTCCTAAGCAAATAACAGTCTGCACGTGCATACAAGCACACGTACAAAAATCATTTCCAGTATTAACAAATGTACAGGTGGGCAGGGCTGGGTGAAGGAAATGCCTATTTTTGTGTAGGCCTTACAAAATTAAGCGAGAGACATGAGGAACTGCTGCACAAAGATGTGCTCGGAAGCTTAATAATAGCAAATAGCGGTGCCCAAAGGCCAAATCCTGGCTTTATGAAACAACGTAGATGTGAAGCATACAGGGGAAACCAAAGTTCTGGGCAAGGCAGCAGCTTACCAACAGCAAGGCGTTCTCCTTCTTCATATCCTCAAGCAGCTTTTGCCACTCGTTCAGGAAGTTTCAGATTGCTCTCCCAGAAGTTCCCCTTGGTGAACTTTTCAACTTTCTCAGCATTGGGTATTTCTTTAGTATTCAAAAAATAAAAATAGAATTTTCATATAGTTAAGGTTTGGGGTTAGGGGATGTTTGTAGAAAACAAACCAAAAAAAACAAGTCAAAGTGCAAGAAAAACTTCATTCCTCACAAAGGATCTTCTCCGGCTTGGGATGTCTCTCACAACAGTGTCATTTTTCATTGTTAAGCAAAAAAAAGACAAGAAAAAAGACAGGAGAACTAGAGCTATGCACCTTCCACTGAAGTAATGGCACTTTGTCCATTAGCTGAAAGGGAAGATTCTACCACTGTCTCCTATTAATGAGCTTAACTCTTCTTTAAAGAAAATAAAACTAAAAAAGCCACCTCTGCCGCCCTTTGAAGATCCTTAGGATCCGTAACACATAAGAGACTGATGCCTCAGCCTTTCCTAAGTGTCAGTTATCACAATTTTCCTGTGTATGGTAACATTTTCTAATCAACAGACTTCCAATTGTCAAGGCAGAAACCTGAACCCATAGAAATTACCATCAAAGAAGGACAAACACATTCTTTTGGAAAAGGTGTCAGCTGTGTCCAACGCAGCATGGACAGCCGCATTAAACGAGACATCTTAACACAGTAATTCAAAAAACTCTAGCAATCATTGCAAAAGAGTAATAACAAACATACCAAACTAGTCCCCCAGACATTTTATATAATAAAATGCTACATTTCATCTACTTTTTGGAATCCTGCAGATGTTATATGGAAAACTTACTTTATGAAATGCAATAAATATATATGGTAAGAACCAGAACTGAACAGTTTCACACATATGTACAGCAGATAACATTTCTGATGACAGAAGAGCAGTTAAATTAGGCATATTCTAAATTACAGCAGTGTGAAAGATAATCAAAATAGCTGCACGGTATAATGTTCTTCATTATTTTCACGCATTTTTACAGAACTATACACACAGCCAGCTGGGTGCAAGAGATTTTAAAGAAGAGGACACATCTCATTCGAGGGCATTTGCAAGGGGCTCAAGGGCAGGCTGAGGCATTTAAATACCTGACTCCCTAATTGTCACCAGCTCTTTAACTGGCTTCTTTCTGGCTGAAATGTGGAAGATGTTGTTTGGCTAGGACGTGGTTGTGGATGCAGGCTTGTTTTTTTTTTTTTGCTATTTCAGGGCAGGTGGCTTGGCCCTGGGTGGCATTAACCCCAGTTTTAGTATTGGAACATTAGGTATCCAACTTGAGCTAAATCACTTTGCAGAGTCTCAGGAGAGGCAGTGTACAAAAGGATCCATTCTGCTTTCCTTAACCTTCTGTCTCAGGCCCAGGTGAGTAACTCTGCACGTGCCCAGCCCCTTCCAGGACCAACAGGGCAACCCCAGAGCTTAAACTCGACATCTAACTTTTAAACTCGACATCTAACCTCCAGAGAGCGAGTGCGCCGCGCGCGGCCCTTCACTCGCTGCTGGGCAGCCCCACGGGCATCGTCACCCACCCGCAGCCGCCGGAGCCCCAGGGCGAGGGGCCGGCGCCAAGGACGGGGCCTTCCCCGCTTCTGGTTTGAAGCTGGGCTGCCAAGCACAGGCCCAAACGCCTGTGAAAGCCTCTTCGTCCATTCTCAGACTTGATCTTTAAGGTGAATAAGCACGTGCATAAACGTCCCGTTCATTTTTATAGAGCTATTTAGGCAGACAGTTTAGGATAACAGATACAAGCAAGTACATTATTGAACTGAAGCTTTCAAGACTTGGGAAGACGCCTGGAGTCGTAACATTTGAATAGTGATTTTTAAAATGAGCAAAATATAATGCTGTATTCACCTAAGTGAGATCCCATGCCAACTATATACAGAGTAAAGTTGTCTGCATTTAGTTCAAGGGCACAAGCTCTTCAGAGCAAGCCTTTTTTTATTATTATTTTTTAAGCAAGCTTTTCCAACACCTGTTGTCAAAGCACATCACCTTAAGGAAAAGGATGATACAAAACCCAGAACATTCTTAAAAAGCAGTGTTTAGGAAGGTAATGCGGCTGAGAGATGATGTACAGGTGGAGATTCCGACCCCGCTCCAGGAGAATTAAAATCCTTTAGCGGATTTACTGTCTCTCATTTTGCGACGGGCCAAACGAGGGGACAGTTCCACCCAAAGGAGGGTTTTCCATGGACACAGCCCTGCTGCACCCTGCAGCAGAGGAACCAAAGGCACTTGGGGCAGCGGCGCAGGAGCCGTGGGCGGCCCCAGCCTCACGCTGAGCGTGAGGAGCAACAGAGGCCGCAGGAACTTGGGAACCTGGGCCCAAAGAGCAGGGAAACGCAGGGAAATTGCTAAAATCCACCTTTTCCTATCGTAGTTAGTCCACAAAAATAAGTACTACATGGAAGTGCTGCGATTCATACACGTGGATATATAATAAAAATATACATATATATGCATTGAAGCTTATATATGCATATATACACATGCATACATGTGTGTATATATATGTACAAAACAGAACTAAAAAGACAGTGACCTATTCCTGCTTCTTTACAAGGAAGGTCTAAATGTGTTTCTTTTGTTTTGCTTTTGTGTTTTTTTTTTTTTTGAATTGTGGAAATATCTGGAATGTCAAGCCTGGTCTCTCCTCCCTTTGCCGGAAGACTCCATGGAGGTCTGAAGCCCAAGGTAAAAGCTTTTCACGCCCTGATCGAAGACTAAAGTATGGAACTACAGACAAAGGTGTCTCTTCCTCCAAATATTTTTCAGCTATTTGAAATAATGACATTAGCAATAGCTAAGTCTTAGACCCAAAAAAGCAGTTTTCAATTAATCCTAAAATGTAACGACCTTTCAGGTTACAACGCCAAACTCCCGACAAACAGAATTTCAAACAGAAGGTACAAAATAAGAACCAAAAAGTCAACTTAAATCTCCTTTATACTACTTAATAGAAATACAGAATGATATCCTTTACAGACATGACTGTAAATAGGCTTTTTTTTTTTTAATACAAGTCACTGACGCTGTAGAAGTAAACTATTTGTAGAAGTTAACGATAAAACCTACTTTACCAGTTTGAAGGCACATTGGGTATCACTTCATCCACATCCCCCACTACTTGGTGTGAAAAAGACAAAAAGCAGCTTCCAGAAAAAAAAAGATAAAAATACAGATGCACCCTGAGAAGTGAAATTTTACAACAACAAAACACATTTATTTTAAAGTCCTGGTATTTGTAAACTCTCATTTTCTGAACCTATGTTCTTCTACAGCTAGGACAATAATGTCTAATCCTCAATTACTATGAACAACATTACTTGAGATAAAATAATATTAAAAATTAAGTTCCCAGAAACATAAACCAACCCAAACCTGACTGAAAGGAATGAGGTCTCGCACAGAATCACACCAAAGCTGACATCTGTCAGTGAGGAAGAATAAAAAAAAAAAAAAAATCTAAGTTTAAAGTTTTCTAGGAATCTCCAGGTTTCTAGGGAAGAAAAAAATGGAATAGTGCAACCTAGCTAGAAATCCCGTAGTGCCATCTCTGTGGAGAGAAGGGGGCAAGGGGAAGACAGGTACATGCCCTTCTTTGGATCTGAAATTCTCAGAAGATTAGGTAAATTAAAAAAAGAAAAATCAGAAAAAAGGTCTTATATAAAGTCAGATGTGTTCTGTCGCTGTCCCACGACATGGTTTATAAAGTATCGGCGCGTTCATTCAAGAGTCTCCGAGGCTGCCAAATCCTCAGCGGCTCGAGGCTCTCCTTTGCAGCGAGCAGGGATTACTGCATACGCTGAAGTGCCCTTTGCAGCGTCACACGGTGCTTCGGCCACACGGAACGTTTTGCCTGTTCTTCCAGCGGGTCACCAGGAATCCGTGGGGGCTCCGGTGTCTCTGCCTTTACGGCAGCTTCCAAACGACAGGCTGTGTTTTATGGTCCACGTTCACCAACAGTGGATAAAAATGTACAGTGACAAACTCAAGCTGTGAAGAGCAACACGCTTTTGCAGCAGTAATCAAAAGAAAACAAAACAAAAAGAAAACTTCATCTGAGGAATCGCAAGAGGAGTAGGAAGAAAGCTCTGGAATTCATCCATCAACACAGCCTTCCTTCTCCAAAGGCTAAACAGTGTTAAGGAGAGAGACAGTCCAATAGTACTTGGAGCTGTCACCTCTCTTGGAAAGAACACAAAACAAGTACCATAAACTAATAAGTTACCACATCATATTGCCCTTGTTTCACAAGCACTATTTTCATTGCTATTTTGCTGAACAAAAATGTTTGCTTTTACACTTGGCACCATGTTGGATTCCTATAAAAGAGGAATCATATATACAGTTGCTAAAGCATTATCCTAGGTATTGATTTTCATTTGCATGATAAGCAGACGTATCACACATCAACACAGTCTTGACCACAGGAGAAATTTGAAAAGAAAATGGTTTTGGAGTTCTCTACAAATTATCATTTAGGACACTAAGTACCTGGCTCACACTTTATATCCAATACCAAGAGGCAGCTGGCAATTCTCTCTCTCTCGTTTCTGCTATAAGTTCAGGTGGAAGGTTCTTGCATTTATCTGTTGGGTCGCTTAGGCTGGACTGTAAAACATCACTACATCTATTTCAGGTGGAGGAAGGGAGAAAAACATATCAGATGCAAGTCACTGCCAACAAAATGAAGAAAAAAAATGCCTTTTCACTCCATTCTTATACTACCTTACATTGGGTTTTGTTTTGTTTTTCCAAAGAGTTCATTAGAGGCCAGTAATAAGGTCTTACACTGCAGACAAAATTAAAATGCTACAGTGTATAAATGTGTGTGTGTATGCACATATATATATATGTGTGTGTGTGTGTGCGCGCATAGGCACACATATATAAATAAAGGGAAGCAATCAACTTTTTTTTTTAACTTCTAAATATTTAACTTCTGATTTTATCTGGATAGTTTATTGTCTAGAATACTCAAGGGGGCATGTAAAAATACATTTTTAATTTTCCCCTCATTAAAGTCACACATATGGCTACTATGCAAAGACATGCAATGTCACCAATTAACAAGGAGTGAAACATTTAGTAGGTACAATATCAACTCTTTAGGAAATGCATAATATATTTAAATACATTTTTACCCATTTTGTGCAGATAATTAATACTTTCCACTATCTCATGGGAGATTTATGTTCTTCTTTAAAGAAACAAGTCAGCACAAAATCACAAGAAACAACTCTGTCAAACGAATTCCTTTGCAGCATATGTAGGGAGTCACTGGGTGAAACTCTTTTTTATGAACACATTAGGAAAGTTGGCGTTCAGTTCTAGGACAACCCTATTATCAATCTGTGAACAGAAAGACACGTCGAGTAAAGAAAGATCTTTACAGGACTCCAGCAATTTTCTTAAAGACGCAGGGCTTACCATCCTTGTGCCTGTTTAAAAAGAGAGAGAGAGAAAGAAAATAACTTGTAAAGTTGATGAAAATACTTACTTTGTTACTCTTTTTTTTTCCCCCCTCTCAAAGTTGCTAATAGTGCATTGTGAGATAAATATACATATATATCTGCTAGTAGAGCCTCTATATTTCTTTCAGTTATTTCAGTTAGATCAGTTAGAGCTCAGAGGGTGGTGATAAATGGGGCCGAGTCCAGCTGGAGGCCTGTGGCCAGTGGTGTCCCCCAGGGGTCAGTACTGGGCCCAGTGCTGTTCAACTTGTTTATCAATGACCTGGACGAGGGCACGGAATGCACCCTGAGCAAGTTTGCGGATGACACCAAGCTGGGTGGAGTGGCCGACACTCCGGAGGGCTGTGCTGCCATCCAGAGGGACCTGGACAGGCTGGAGAGTTGGGCAGAGAGGAACCTCATGAGGTTCAATAAGGACAAGTGCAGGGTCCTGCACCTGGGGAGGAATAACCCCAGGCATCAGTACAGATTAGGGGTGGACCTGCTGGAAAGCACCTCCACGGAGAGGGACCTGGGAGTCCTGGTTGACACTAAGTTAACCATGAGTGAGCAGTGTGCCCTCGTGGCCAAGAAGGCCAATGGCATCCTGGCCTGCATCAGGAGGAGCGTTGCCAGCAGGTCAAGGGAGGTGATTCTGCCCCTCTGCTCAGCTCTGGTGAGGCCGCACCTGGAGTACTGTGTGCAGTTCTGGGCACCCCAGTATAGGAGGGACGTGGAGCTTCTGGAGAGGGTCCAGAGAAGGGCAACCAGGATGATTAAGGGAATGGAACATCTCTCGTATGAAGAGAGGCTGAGCGAGCTGGGCCTGTTTTCTCTGGAGAAGAGGCGGCTCAGAGGGGATATGATTAATATGTATAAGTTCAGGAAGGGAGAATGCAGGGAGGAAGGGGACAGGCTGTTCTCACTGGTGGCCAGCGATAGGACGAGGGGTAATGGCCACAAGCTGGAGCACAGGAAGTTCCGTCTCCAGGTGAGGAGGAACTTCTTTACTGTTAGGGTGACAGAGCAGTGGAACAGGCTGCCCAGGGAGGTTGTGGAGTCTCCTTCTCTGGAGGTCTTCAAAACCCGCCTGGATGCCACCCTGTGCCACATGCTCTAAGTGTGCCTGCTTGAGCAGGAAGGTTGGACTAGATGATCTGTAGAGGTCCCTTCCAACCTTAAATATTCTGAAATATTCTGAAATAAACTAAACTAGAAGTTTCTCTTGGGATCTCGCCTTTCAAGAGCCTGTTGGGCTTCCCTAACCCCACTGCTTACGCAGCCCCCACCGGTATCCACGTGGCAGAAGCAGCTTTGTGACCTTTAAAACCTGCTTGGACGCAGCCCTGTGCCCCGTGCTCTAGGTGACCCTGTGTGTGCAGGGGGGTTGGACAACATCATCTCTGGAGGTCCCTTCCAGTCTCAACCAGTAAGGGATTCTGGTACTGTTTGTCCGCAGAAGTGCCAGCAAGGTGTTAAACTGAATCCAAACCTGCTGGGAAGTGTGTGCCTGGAAGCCGGCAGTGCTGGCAGAAAAGCAACAGCACCAGAGACTACTGTGGGCTGGACACAACCCAGCCATTCATTGCACAGCCCCTCTGGCACAGTGAAAGGTCAATTTGTAGGCAGACCCAAGGCCGCTGTAACAGAAATGCATGGAAGTGGGGGATCAAGAGAACATCCATGTTTTCCAAACACCTTGGTCACTACGCCTTTTGAAAACTTGTCATGTCTCAGTAGGCAGACGTGCCCTCAAAGTAGCTACAAAACAGACTGCCCTAAAGACAAGCAAAGCACACGACCACCTGCAGACACAAACATGAAGTCTGAACAATTTGTACCAGGTGGAGTCAGTTTTCATCTGCTCGTCCATCCCAATGCTGGTCAGAAGGTGACATTCCTATTCACAGATGAGTCAAGCCATTCCTCATGGTAGAAGGCTATGTACTAAGCTATATTGGAATGACAATCTGAAGCCAAATGGTAAAGCTTTTATAATGAGAAATGCGATAGCCTTAAACACACTTAGAAAATTATTTAAGTTGAGGATTCTCAGTTCTTTGCAGTGTCTCTCTCAACCTAAATGTAGTGTTTTCATTAAAATTATTAAATATTAAAATTGTGCAGTACATCGTTCTTTTTTTACAAGATCTTCCTCTTTGAAATAAGCCAGTAAAATAGCTCACAAAAGTGCACAGAAACTTCTTCTGCATCAGTGTTTACCTGTAATTGTACATTACCTTTAAGAGGAATAAACCCATCTTTCATTACAGAAAGAACACAAACAACATTGAGCTAAGCTATGTTTCCCTAAGTCCTTACACTCCAAGATTTTGTTAATATAAAATATTAGTAACTAGAGGGCAGAGGATTAGAATTTAAGGTCTGCCCCCCGCCAGCGCACCCCTTGCTTCTCCTCACATTCCTCCCACTCTAAGGGAAAGTCCATGTAAGCTTTTTTTTTTTTTTTTTTTTTTTTTTTTTTTTCCCCTCCCCTCTCTCTTTCCCTTTCATGAGACAATTCACGTCCTGGTAAAAAAGACAAAGGAATTTAATACCATTCTACCACCTATCTGCATTATGCAAAAGCAGAAATTGCATAAGATTTGCACTATACTTTGTCACATTCCACACAAAAAGGCAACAATCAATGAAAGTAGAAACAAGGAGAAGACATTGTATCATCTGACAGCCAAAGGTTAGCAAAACGTACTTGAGTCAAAAAAATATCAGTGATTACAAAGATAAAATTACTAGAAAAAAAAATCGTACTCAATTCTCAGTTTATGCCATTAATACCGCACTGTCAAATTATATGTTGAAATAAATCCATGGGATTTATTTATTTTCACAGTGGTGAACTGCATTTCCCCATGTTCCTTTTTCCCATGCCGAGCCACATTTTAAATAAAGATTTATTTAAAAAAAAAAAAAAAAAAAAAAAAAAGTCAGGAAGGCAGTTTTACTTCCTGGGCTCCCTTTTACCAGGAAGGCTTTTCCCGCAGAGCAAGAAACCGCCCAGCAGCCCTGCGTGCTCTCACCCAGTATGTCCAGCTGCCGGAGGCGAGTGCAGTTGGCAGCGAGCTCTTCGATGTCGGAGTCGCACACAGACCTGTTGGCTGTCAGGAAGAGCTTCTGCAAGTTGGGCAGCCTGCGTGCCAGGTTGGTGAAACAGCCTGTACTGCTCTGCAACGTAGGGCACCAGCCAAGATCGAGTTCTTCCAAAAGCTGGCAGCCCGAGGCCAGCTCTGCTATTCCGTTTTCAGTTATGTTCTTACATCTCCACAGATCCAGGCTGCGAAGCTTTTTGCATTTTGCTCCCATCATGCTTGCTATGAGATCATAGTCTTCAATCTGCAAGGAAAACAAACACTTTGTCACGTATACCATCTTTTTATCCAGACGCACAGAGGTGTCATAAGAACACGCTTGCTAACACACCTACAGATCTGTCTGAAGCATTTGTCGTTTCCAAGCAGCTCAAAGAATTTTGCCTTATAGATTACAACGAGGTCTATTTTTACAAAAGACAAAACTGAAATATATTTTCAATCAACATTGAACACAGGTGCTTTCATATCATTTAATAAAAGGCTAAGTAGAAATACAGGAAAAAAACCTTTCAATTCTCTCTCCAAAACACCTTTTCCTCAACAGTTAGGTTTCTTTCAAAAGATGACTATTTTATGGCAAGAGGCACTTCAACCATAAGCACATGGGCATTAAAGGTGGCACATATTTCTGTTCTAGGGCAACCTGTTGCTACAGCTCCTTCTACAAGCATTGCTGCTCCCCTTGGGCAAGCCAAAGGGGTTGAACCAAGGTGGTGTTAAATAGGCAGCAGGGAATGAAATCCACTATCAGAAAAATATAGGAAGAGTAGGACTGTCAGAAAGATTAAGTCACACTGCTCCCCTCCTCTGTCCCTGAGGAGAAGCAGGGAGGCCTGGGCCACTTCTGCTTTGGCATTTCCTCAACTGTTAGGTGTAGGGAATCGGCCGCCCTACAGTTAGGAAATTCTAGGAATTTCCTAGAATTCTAGGAATGATGATTCGGCTTGAATAAAAGTAAGTCCTGATGAGCAGTTTTAGAAAGAAAAGGCAATACATGCACAAAGAAAGCCTCAAATTTTAGGAAGAGGCTGGAGATCAAGGACAATGTAAAACCCACAAGTTAAATTTTAGCCCAGGCTAAATTAGCAGGCAACAAGACCACATCTACACAAAATCAGTCTACTTTCTGATGCAGTGTCAGTCTAAGAGCTAACAGGCCTTTGTGCAACCTAGCCCCAGCCTGAGCTCTAAAGCAAGAGTGTGTCTATCCACACCCCCCCACACACACACACACATACACAGGGTGGTCTAAGTACTCACCATGACGCAGCTCCCCAGGCTGAGGTGCTGAAGTTCCGAACAGAAATTCAGGATACTGAGCAGTGCTGTTTGCTGCCACAGGGGAACACATCACAAGGAAATATGGAGCAAAAACAAAGAAGGCCAATTAGACCTTAAAGTTGGCACCACTTTTCCTGCAATACAGCTCAGAATCCAGCTAGACACAGGAAAAAAATGCTACTTAACGAATCCCCAAGTGCTCCAACCATTGATTGCCTCAGTGTCACAGGAATCATTACAATCCTTTACGCTGCTCTGAACATGGCTTTTCATGGCCGTGAAGGCGCCGACAGACCCACGGGCTGCGGATTCATCTCCCTAGCAAAGCTGCAAGGAAAGGCACGACGAGAAGCCAGGCCACCCCAAAGCCACGCAGGGCTGGTGGCAAGCAGGAGAGCAGCAGATGCCCCGAGGTCTCCCGCTCAGCGGCAGCCCCACAGAAGGGTCAACGGAGCCGGGCAGCATCGGGGAGGCTCCACGCCGGCGGGGGGGCTGGCAGCCACTGCCCACCGTCCCCACGGCCTGCAGGCAGGGGGAAACGCACACACCGCAGTCCCGGCAGCCGCGCTGGCGCCGGTGAACGTGGCCATTCCTTTCGGAAAGTACGGCAATTACACCGGAACATCAAAGACACCATACAAAGCACGAAGTATATGGCTATTCTGTTCTGGTTTTGTATGACAAGGGAAGTTTCACCTTTTTTTTTTTTTAAAGTGTTTCTAAGACTTAGAAGAGACCTGCTGCCTCCCCCGTAGTCGCATTTTGTTTATATTTTGAAATACACCTGTTGCAAAAGGAAGAACTTAGCCACCTGCGATTCAGATTACAAATAACTGTGCATTATCCTCAAAATGTCTACAACTTAGGATTTCAAAATCTGTATGAGCCTGAAAACTGGAGTTCCACCAAACATGAACAGTAAAATCTGTGGATGTCTGCAAGATATACAACCGTTATCTCTCAGGAAAAAGAAACAAAAGCTGTATACAAGGGATAAAGCAACGTACTGCTAATCAGAGGAAGCCCTAAAGGAATGTTAGTCAGCAACAGCTCTGCACATGTGTAATTCAGGAAAATTTTAGCCATTTGTCTCCTTGTTTTACAAAGCTTACAGCAAACCCTTCCCCCTCATTTCCCAGCTTGTTACAGTCTAATGCCCTTTGTCAGGACATGCAATCAGAGCAGTGTGCAGCACTGCCTGACCCCTCGCACCGGGAGCCTCGCGGTCGCGCGCCCGGGACGTGGTGCAGAGCACCCGTGGGCTCCTTTTTAGCCATCTGATACAGATGTGCCCAGAGAGCAATCAGAAATACCCAGCGCTTAAACTTATACCTAAGTCCAACTTCCAGCTTTGCTTTCTGAGATTTGATTTCCCAAAGGCAGCCTAAGAGCAGAGGGAATCAATAAGCCTTCCTCACGTATATCTTTACATGGGTCTTAAAAAGCCACTGCTTGCTTGCTTGGCTCCATTTATGTTTTTAGAGAAAAAGCATTAAGAAGTCATTACTAAAGAGATAATACTAAGGAGTGCTTTAAATCTAGTAAATGCGTGAGTATATTCACCTATATGATAAGCTTTAACTGAAGAACTTAGTAAGCTAACACTTCATTTTGAGCATTAAACCTGAATAAGCGAGGAACCCCATAAAATGGAACACACTTCATTCAGTGAAAGCTTTAGAATCCACTCAGGTGCTCACATTAAAAGTAAAATGGCCCAGACCCTTTTCAAGCCACCTTACATATCAGAGCTTAAAGGACAGAAGGGAAAGCAGTCTCAACTCTGAGGAGGACTCTGCAGCTGCTCGGGTGTCTCCTCAGGAAGGCCACTCGGGAGCACCCTCCGAGGCTCCCAGAAATGGTTTTCAGGGCAGGGTTTAGACACCGGCCGGAGAGGATCGCAAGCAGCAGCACTGCTACTGTCTACTGGCCAGGATGCCCTTCTCAGTCCCCTCTAACTTCAACCTTTTCCACGTGTTTTGGCCACCCTTAAACCCCATAGCATTCTTTATAAAAGAATGCTCTTTTAAAAACAACCAAGAGGAGAACCAGCACAAGGAACCCAGATAACGAGAAGGGCGCCTGGCCATACTGCTATACCATCCTGCAACACCCCAAGCCAAGCCCAGGAGCAACAGGTACTTATTCAACATTAACTACACTGCATGCACTGACTTCTCTTCCATGGTAGGAATGTCCACACACAAGTAATCAGATCTGCTCAGAAGCAGCGTCTCCCCTTCTTTAACTGAGGTAGATGTTTCCTTCCAAGAAGGAAGAAAAATAATAATAATAAACTTATTTCAGCAGGTTTCATGATTCAGAGTCCAGGTGGCAAAGATCAAAATAGCAGGAGAGGATGGCAACTCATAGCACCCATATGCACTGCACCTACCATAACATCATAACAACCTGTCTCTCTCAAGCCATATGTCTGTTCAATTCATCTCTGACTTGACTTCAATATGAGTAGTAAAATTCCTATTTAAGCAAAGCTTGGAGAAACACAAGGCAAACCCCTGACCTTGGGGCTGTAACTCCAGACACAAACTTCGGAAATTACTGAGCTTTGTAGGAAAGGGAAGAGGCCACCTAAGTTCTTGACTTTGACCTGCAGGGAGCCCATTTCGCTGTCCCTGCTGGTGGACATACCAAGCCAGTGACCACCCACACAACCCTTCATTCTTCGGGGTCGCTGAAAACGCATGCAGAGGCTGCAGATTTCTTGAGCAATATCAATGCCACACCAACAGCAAGAAGTTTTTAAATAGAGTAACACACAACACGGCCTCCACAGTCCAAATCTCTTCTCGAAGTCATATGAAGAATTCTTGATTCTTGTCCTGCTTTGGACAAAGCAGAAAGGAGAATTAACCCCAAATCCTTTCCAATAATGACCCCAAATGAGACAGGGGACAGTTCTGGCCCCTCAAAAAAGCCTCATTTTCTACTACGGACGAGGGCAGAAAAGGTTGACAACCTTCAGCAAGGAGGTGCAAGCTCCAACGGACCAGCTACTACGTGCTGACCTGCAGCCAGTTTGTCTTTGCAAAGATCACAGATCCATGCGAAACCTGCCAGCTTTTAACCTTTGGGTTGCAAAAATGCCCTGCTTTGACAAGATGACCCAGCACTACAGAAACCAAATACATCAAAACTGTTAAACTCAGTGCAAGGCAGAACTGAGGCTTTCTTTTTTTCCCCAGAATTTTTCACATTTATGATCCAGGAAGTGTTGTGCAACATTTCCGATATCCATATGACAAGCAAAGCATCCAAGGGAGTCTGAGCTCAATATCCTGTCAAACAGGAAACCCTCCTGCCTGTGGCAAATCAGGTTCCCCTGTGAAAGATGCACACTGACAGTATTCGACAGTATCCACATCCAAGCTGCATTGCAAATTATCCTGAGATTTAAAAGACAAAGTTAAAAAAATTACAAAAGATGGCTACAACTGTACTATAAAAACAGTGCACAGACTAGTGCACTGCAACACACCTCTAAGAAGTTAATGAACTTAAAATAATATTACAGGATTGAGATTAAAAAAAAAGCCATGTCATCCTTAATATATAAACTTCCTTTTAATAGAGAAAACTTAAAAAATGCTTTAAAACAGACCGTTTTCCCACTGCTTTCTCAGAACAGGGTCTGATATAGGTTGGGAATTCTTACATGGCTTTTCCAAAAGGTTGGGAGAGCCTAAATCTTCCAGAAAACTTCTCTTCCTGTAATTATTTATTCTAACTTCTCAGTGAACTAGGTGTTGGCAAAAGAAAGAGTGTTTACACCTGTCTGACCAAAAATTGCCTTTTTTTTCCTCTTTAAATTAGGGTTGCTTACTATGTATATTATCACACAGTTCCTTTTCTCCAGATTACGATGCAGTTGTCCAAAAAATGTGAATGAGCTGCGATTTTTTTCTCCCATCAAAACATTTAAGTTAGACTAGAAAAAAACTTTTAATCCCTCCACCCCGTCAAAACAGCATTATATGTAAGAATAACCAAAATCACATTTTTACCATGCATTTCCAAATGATGATCTCATCTCTAGTCCTCCCTATCCCATCCCCCCAAAACTCTGCTGTCTCTATTTACAGAGAAACAGTTATGCAACACTATGTGCAGGCAGGTATCAGATAACACACCTACATTTGCAAGCTCACCACAACAACAATATTGTGCTTTTTTTCCTGTGATATCAAAGAACTAATATGACTATTCCTAAAGTTCACAATTTCTTCTCTCCTCTGTTGCAGTTACTTCTCCCTCCTCAAAACAACAACAACAAAAAAAGCATCTTTGGGAGTTTTGGCTGGGAGCTACATATGAAAATGATGAGGTTGTAATATTTAATAACAGGTTCTATCACAAGATTTACCCACGTTTCTAGTTAACATTTTCATTTTGCTCTCCTAATCTGTCTCCATTAAAATATTGCTTAAAATATTTGCTTTCAGGTTAGAATTACAGCCTTTAGGACTATAGCAGCCAGTTATGCTAGATAACATACATTTATAATACCAGCTGCTGTCCCACAATAAACAAAGGACTTTTAATGAGACAAAGAGGGAGACCATTAGGGACTTGAGCAGCCAGGTAGTAAAAGTCTTCCTGAAACCCTGCACGTGGGTAAATCACCACCTCACACAGCCAGTGCTCCATCCCTTACATGACTGTTGGAATGTGGTACAACATGAATTCATTGTACCATGAACGTGGTACAAGGGACTGGGAACGGGAGCTGGACAAACACAGGCTAAGGAGGTGGCAGGGGGTGGCTCTGCTCAATCACATCCATAGTCAGTCCCTCGGAGCAGGATGTCTCCATCAGTTGAGAAATCCAAACACTCATGCCAAGACTTGTCAAGTAAACACAACTAAACCCAAGGATCATCCTGCTGAGTGTGCACACGTACTGGAGAACTCCTTGTTGGTGCAGAAAGCTGATTACCAACTAAATGGGGAAGTGGAAAGGAATGAAACAATTATTTGCTTAAAGAAAAAAAAAATGAACAAGCTCTTGGCAAATCAAGAGAAATGGTATC